GTAGGGAAACGACTTTCTGAAATAACTTGGGTAATTCCTGAAACAGGTCATCTTCCTAAGATTACCTACTAAGGGAAGTTTACAGTTGGAACTACTGAAAAGCCCAGAAGCAGGAAAGATGTCTTCCAAATTCAAGTATCACAAAACTAACATGGCAGGCAGATATCAAACCAGTCTCAGGTTCTGTTGTACAAGCTTTGCTCTCTGGGATCAGCACAGACACAGAAGAAAAGCTGAAATGATCCCACACAATACACCCACATGCATTGCCCACGAGGTCCCACTTTCCACAGCTAATGTGGGTTGACTGAGGCAAGCACTGCAGGTTTGTGGCAAAGTGGGCATTTCTCCAGGACTGATGTGGACAGTCAGATGGGGTGAAATGCCACATACGACATTATACAGGGCAATGCTCCACTGCAAGCATTCTCTTTTCTCAAGTCGAATGTTCAAAGCCATGCTTTTAGCTTGCATAGCTGAGATGCATGCACATGGCAATTAAACTATGCTGGTATGAAGCACAGCTTTTCCAGAGTTCCCAGGCCCACACTCAGAACATCGTCTACACAATGCACCACTATTCCTTTACCCCTTTGGGATTTCACAAAGCAGAAAAGGTTCTGGAAAAGCAGTCCTGTGATTTGTCGTCAGGCTTTCCAAAAGCCTAGTGTCTGATAGCACAGTCTTTATTAATTAAAAAACCCAATTCTCTCCTAGAAGGCATTAAGTCACATGTGGAACACCACGGACCAATACTGACTTGGGAGCTAGATAACAATGCTGGGGCAGGAGGATAGGGGAAAGTAATGGGTTCTACACAGAGAACACTTGGCTCTTGGAGATCCTGAGCTCCTTACCTGTGCATCAATAATTTTCTGCTTTGCATCGATGACAGCTTGCATCTCTGCATGATCCTTCTTCAGCTCCTCTTCAACTGCCATGAGTCTGATGAGCAAAAAGAGGTACAAATCAGGACTGTTTAATGCTATTCCAGAGTGTTTCAGGTACTCTGGCCTGTTGGTTTCACTTCTCTGACTGTCCTGGCTCTGCAAGAGAAGAATTCTGCTGTGCTCGGAAAAGCTTATCTATCCAACTGACACTCGCAATTGCCTAACCTTGTTATTCTCAAAATGGACATTGCCAAAAATGCAACTGCTCTGAAAAGCTGCTGCCTTGACTTCAGATTCCAAACAAAGCAAAAAGTCCTGCTGTAAGTGCAACAGAAACCAGGGTTAAAACTTCCTAAATTTTTTCCTTCATTCTCCTGACAATCTGAGGCAAGTTTCCACACCTGCATCTCTGTTTCTTCATCTCTGAGGCAGGATGGTATCGGTCCAGAGATGTCAGAAAGCAACTACCTTCTTCAGTGTCAAAGAGAACACATGACACAGGGGAGCTTCTTGTCCTACACAGTCCCAAACTTTCCAAAGCCTCACCTGCTGATGATACTTTTCATCTGGCTGTCCTTCTCCTCCTGTTGCCTGCGCAGTCTCTCCTCACTGTCTTCCAGCCTAGACTTGTACTCCATCAGCAGCTTCTGCATTTGCTGCTCTTGCACCAGGAGCCGCCGTTCATACTCCTCCAGCCGTCGGCTTGACACCTTCAGGCGCTCCTTCAGCTTCGCTATCTCTTGTTCATACTGCAGGTTGGAAGGAAAGGAGGAAAGAATCAGGTGCAAAGGGAAGAGATCAGATCATTATGATCTGCTGCTGCTGTTCAGAGAACGACCTTGTTTTTTTTCATGAAAAGTATATCGATAGAATTAAAGGAAATAACAAGCAAACAACTGTGGGCAACCACAGAGAAGGAGCATGTAGGCTCCCATTGAGCATTTAGCTAATCCCATGCTGTAGGATGTCATTCTGTAGCACAACTTAAGCACTCAGAGGGCCCTGACATGGCTCCTCAGTCCTGACTGATAACATCACCAGTCACTCCAGACTCAAGGAGTTGCCAGACAGAAGCTGCTACTCGTGGTCAATTGTAAAAATGTCCTGGGGTAACCAAGCTTACAAAACAAACCACTGTGGACCCAAATAACTCATTCTGCAGAACCTAATCAAGGTATGAAACCACTTGTGAAGGAAGAGCAAATCATTCACTACAGAGCACTACAGAGCACTACAGAGCCTGTAAGTTTACTTGGCTGAGGTTTTGTTCTTCTACTTACTGTTTCTCTGGATAATCACTTCTGCAATGCTGCAATGAATCTCAATATATTCCACTTTGTTTTGGGTTCATTCACCTTTCCTAATAATCCTATGTTGCTGCTTCTTGTCCACCAAATGTTCTCCTCCTCCTCACACCCTGCCCTCTCAAAATACCAAACCTCTTACTAAACATCATCACTGAAGCAACATATAGATGTAATTGTATTTGGAAAAATGGTATCTACTCCTGAAAACAAACATGCTTTAAAAAAAAAAAAGCGCAGACTTTTCTGTGTAGCCCAGAAACCCTGTACCAGCATTTGCCTCAGGTGAAACCCAAGACAAAATTACTGATGAAGACTGAATTGCATTTACAGAGCCTTGTACAATCACTTAGCATACCCTAAGCTATACTCAGTCAGGTTAACAATTGTGGTTGGTATTGGTTTGTGGTTTTTTTTTTTTTTTTTTTTTTTTAAACTGGAGTTTAATGATCACTAAAAAATTTTGCAAGCATAGAAAAATGGCAGTATGCTGTAGCTATAGTGTTGTCATAAAAAATGATGACTCGAGCAGGATCTAATACACTTAGGCAGTGACTCATGATGCAAGTGTGTGCCAAGTACCAGCCTATAAGCTATGTCAGTTTGCACCCATTTGACATGCTACAGCCTGTACATGGGTTAATCTATAGTACGGGACACTGTCGTACAGATACGTGTGACAGCATGTACAGCAGGGAGTTACAGCCAATACCACCTGTGTTTGAAAGCATGACTCCGTCACAGCAGCGTCTGAAAGTCGTTCTGAACTTGACTGTAGGGTGGACAGTTCTCACTGACAGCCCTCGAGTCACCTGCATGTAGAATAAAATCTACCTTCTCAGCGTGCTTGACTTCATCTGGATTCTGCTCTGCATCTTCCTCTACTTCTTCATACTGTCCATTATTGAGAACCCACGCAGCTGTCCTTTCCACTGGTGACATTGTGGCTGAGTCCACAGGTGACTGAACCTGGAGCAGAGATACCTGTAAGCATTTCTCAGAGAAACCGAGATCAGTTTCTAAAATCCACTTTATCTGGAGGAGAAAAATGACCACAAATCTGTCAGTCTTAAAGGATCCCCGAAACCTCTCTTGCAGAGATACTTCATCCTCCCTTGACTTTGCACCCACAGCACTTACTTGAGTCCCTCTAAAACTAATGCAATTGAGAGATTTTTCTTCCCCTCTAAGCAAGCTTCTCTCTGCACAAGTTCTTGTTTCCAAATCCCGTTCACAACCACCCTTCCCCTTTGCCAGATATTCAGTAAGGCTTTCTCAACCTGTGAGCTCTCTCACAAAGAAAACAGAGTGACAAAGCTTCACTTGCAGTCTATTCAGGTAAGACAGATTAGGGTTTTTTGGAGTACCAAGGAGTTTAACTTGGGAGCAGCTTTCTCAACCAGGCTGCAGACAGGCTTTGCAATGGCTTGGATATGAGACAGCACAGCAGTACTTAGAAGTGGCAAAGAGGTGTAACATTATCACTGTAGTGCCTATCATATTTAGATGGTCGGTTGTAGCACAATACACCCAGCGAAGGCTGTGGAAGGAAGTCACGGCCAGCAGTGCTTACTAGGAGAACTGTAAAACACCATCAGTGGCCATCTTCTTGAAAGGAATCCAAAAAGGAAGCCAAGAAAAGAAACAAGAAACACTCTGCCCAGCTGGGGAAAATATGGCTTGCTACAAATTCCAAGCAATTTTCATGGACAAAGACAAGTTTATAAGCACAGGAATTAGCATAATTACCCCTGAAAGAGGAACACTGTCTTAACTTTTTGAGAAATGCAAAAGATCAGCTTCC